TCTTGTTGTAAAGTGATACCTATTGGTCTTTATAGTTCTTTTGCACTTTAATCTGTGTAGAACTTTTAACTTTATACATTGTTCTGTATTGCTTTATTGCATTTAAATGTTCAGTTATTTTTGTTATAAGAAAAAAGTTATAAAACCCGTTATACTGTATTATGACAGCACTTTTTTTTATACTTAATTGCAATATCGTGATAATACCGTATACCGTAATAAAAGCATTAGCAATTAATCGCAACATGAAAATTTGATACCAGCATATCCCTAGTCGGAATTTACTGTATAAAGCGGAATATCACAGCATTTGCCAACTTTTGGATGGATCAAAAAAAGTATGTCAGTACACTTAAATCAAAACACGATATAGACTAGTGTCTGTGAATATTAAGCTGCAAAAATACCATTTGAGTCCTGCATGTTCTGCGTGTCTCTGTGTGAATGAATGGCGCAGACCCGCGCTTTCGTTTACTTGAACAACTATTTACCAGAAAACCTATTTACCAGAAATGTATTTAGCAGAAAAATGTAAATACACAACACAGTATTTCTGGAAAGAAGAAATAAGAATCAAAATAATAATAAATTAGGCCTAGCTTTTTCTAAAATCAGTTAATTAGAGATGCTTTTGATTATTAAAATGTAATAAAACCAATTAAAAATGGAATTCAGAAAATTAATGTAAAACAGAATTTGGTAATAATAAAACTGAATTTGAGGGGAAAAAAAACATTTCATAGGGCCTTAAAAGTGTTAGTTTTGTTAAACTTTGCATAAATTGCTGTTTAATATTATAAGTTTTATTATTTTAATTAATTAGACAGGTCTTTTGATGAATACAATTTAATTTAACCATTAAAATAGAGTCTAGAAAAATTAAAACACACAAAAAAAACAGATTTCATAGGGCCCTACAATTTATATCGCCACTATTTAAGCACTCTGTGATTTTGTAGTCTCAATATTTTTGGCTAAAATATTGCTGGTCAATTAGTACGTACAATTCACACTGTTTATGTTCAGAGTTAAGAGACCTTGAGTATCAGGTGTGAGTTATTGAGGAGAGTCTCAGTTTGACTCACATCCGTTGGATTTGAAAAGCGAATGATTGCCATTAAGAGCCATCAGTTACGCAGTGGTTCAGCCGCTGCAGTGCCATCATCATCTCACCCACTTTCAGCCTCATCTGAAGATGCTGATCCTGATTAGAGCTGCGGCTTCTGACTCCGACTGAACTTGCATGCTTCTTAAAGTAGTGTTCATGCCCAGCATGTGTCTGTGTGAGTGTGTGGTTGTGATTATATTAGATGATCTGAAGAAATGCACTGTAGAAGAGAACAGGCATGATGAAGGGTTTCTGTAATCAATGGTCTGCTCACACTGTGTGTGTTTGAGAAGTTTTTCAGTGTTTGATTGTGTCTCGATGTGAGATGGTGCAGGAGTTCGCTGTATTCTTAAGGGCCAAATTTCTGTTTTTTTTTTAACAAATATAGTACTAAAACCAAGTTGATTTAAAGGTTCATAAATGCATTAAAATGTTTTCATTTTAATTAAAATAAATGAGGTTGTAGAAGTGTCCTTTATTCAAGACTAGCTAGAAGTCTAGGTTATTGGTTATCTAGGTTATTATTTTGTTCATTGCCTAGTTTCTATGACTTGATGTTTTGCATTACTTTTGTTGCATTATGAGTTTTAACACAGTATTTTATTGTGATATTTATTTATTTAATTTATTGCTTAGTTTCAGTGACCTGATGTTTGGTATTAATTTAGTTGCATTATGATGCTTAGCACAGTATTTTTGTGTTATGATTTTATTTAATCATTTGTTTTGTTGTTGTATTTTTTTTTTGTCATGAAGATTGGTATTACGTTTGTTGCATTATTTTTGTTGCATTAACAGTATTTTATTGTTTCATGATGATTGTATTCATCTATTTACTACATTTTATATTTATTATTCATAATATGAATTATATAATTTTTTATATATTTATTTGTTATTTCATTGCTTAATTTTTTTTACATGTTTTTTGTATTACTTTTGTTGCATTATGATGTTTAACAGTATTTTTATTGTTATTTTCTATTTTTATTTATTTGGTTTATTATAAATTATATTGTTAATAAATATATTACAATATTTATATTTTTTATTTAATGTTTATAATATATTTTTTGCTTACTTTCTATGACAACGTTTGGTATTACTTTTCTTGCATTATGATATTTTAAATAATGTTTACATTTTGTTGTGCTTTTCTGTCATTTTTATAATAATTACTCTTGTGTGTGTGTGTGTGTGCGTGTATTTTGTGTGTGTGCGTGTGTGTGTGTGTGCGTGTGTGTGTGTGTGTGTATGTGTGCGTGTATTTTGTGTGTGTGTGTGTGTGTGTGTGTGTAAGGTGCCGGAGTGCAGTGTCGTTGGTCTCGGCGAGAAGCTGCTGTTATTCAGACATGAGCCGAACACAGAGCAGATCTTACTGAGACTCACTGAAAAACATGACATACGCAACGGAGATCTGGTGGAGGTGGTGCTCGCTGGTCAGTCAACACACACACACAGACACAGACACAGACACAGACACACACACACACACACAGACACAGACACAGACACACACACATACACACACACACACACCATCCACTACTATCACTGCAGGTGATGTTGACAGCTGTCAATCACGTTGTTCACTCTAGGAACGGCTTCAGTGATGGAGACGAAGTACCACCCACATTCTCTGGTCGTCCATTCGTATCGCACACCTACGTTTTGTCACTACTGCGGTGAGATGTTATGGGGACTCGTCCGACAGGGTCTAAAATGTGAAGGTACGACTGCGCAAAATACTTAAAGGGGTCATATGATGTTGCTAAAAAGAACACATTTTGTGTATTTGGTGTAATGAAATGTGTTTATGCGGTTTAAGTATTCACATTTTGTTGTTGGTAAATTGCCTTTATTTGTTTAGCACTTGTTATTTATATTTATAAATTCATGTTTTTCATTCATAATATAAATTATATTTTTTATAAATGTATTAGGCCTATTTATTTATGTTGCTTAGTTTCTATGACATGATGCTTGATTTTACTTTTGTTACATTATGTTGTTTAGTACATTATATTTATTGTGTTATGAAGAGTTTATCTATTTATTTGTTTATTATATAGTATTTACCTTTATATTTTGTATTTATTGTTTATTAATATAAAGTATATTATTTAGACTATTTATCAAAATGTTATTTACATTTTTTGCTTAGTTTTAGTCAGTGTATTTATAATATAAATTATATTGTTTATAAATATGTAAAGTTATTAGATTTTTTGCTTAGTTTCTATGACATTAGTTTCTGCAATATGTTGTTAATGTTCAGTTTTATTTATTGCTTAATTGCTTATTTGTTTATTACATAATATCAAGTCTTATACTGAATATTTGCATTTTATTTTATTGCCTAATTGCTTATTTATTTGTTTATTTAATATTGATATTTATTATGTTTATATATTATTTATAATTATATTATTTATAAATATTTAAAAAACGTATTTTATTATTGCTAAGTTTCTATGTTGTTTGTGTTTCATTATGTTGTTATCTTGTATAAAGTGAAGTGTTTGAGGGTTTTTCTGTCTTTCTCTCTGCAGGCTGCGGTCTGGATTTCCACAAGCGCTGTGTGTTTAAGTTGACCAGCAACTGCTCTCGCGTGTATCGCCACTGCGGCCCGAGTCTGTCGCTGTTTCCTCCAGGTCGGCCCCGGACCCAGACGCTCTCCAGTCACACCGGCGGGAGTCTGGAGGAGGTGACCATCCTAACCACGTGTCGCTCTTATAGGTTTGAATGAGGAAAAAAGGCAACACTCAATATGGCCGCTCTATCGAACGAAGCCCCGACTTCTGAGCAAAAAGAGCCAATCCCTAATCGGTAAAATCAGCGTGTCACTGCAGCTGCCTGTTGCTATAGAAACAGTCATGCTGCATCCCAATTCGCCTACTCATACTATGCCCTAAAAGTATGTACTCTTTTTGTGAAGAAAAAGTACGTACTTTTGAGTATGTAGCAGAATACTAGGCAAGCTATGGGACATACTACTTCGTCATAACTGCGTCTTTAACGGAC